TAAATAGTGGTTTCCTAAAAGAAGTGTATGGATCCACCCTTCATCTTAATTAAAGTCTCTTTGTAAGAGTCAATTAACTGAAGTCTGTCTGGATTAATCCAAACAGACCAGGTACTTTGCCCTCTCTTCCTTTTTTTCCTAATTCTAATTTGTAATTACTATTTACTTACAAATATCAACCCTTAGTGCGCATATAATACTCCAAAAGAGTACCCTACCCTGACAGATTTTTTGAGAGTGTCTTTAGTGCTGTTGAGATCTGGACACCATTCATGTATACCAAGCTGATCAAACATTGCTTGAGTATAGATTGCAAAAAAATGTTGACAATACCACCACCAATGTTCACACAATCAGCTGTGGGTTCTTTCACTTCACATTGACCTACACAATCCTTGGCTGTTGTGCTTTTGAGTATGCCTTCTATTTCAGATGACCTTGAGAACCAAGATTTAAATTTGAGAAAATGTTTTGGAGGCTTTGGTATAGCAGACAATGATGTCAACCACCAAATAATCCACCACTATATCCGTAGGGTTCTGGTAGGAGGGGGTGCATCGGTTGAGTCTCTGTTTTTCGACAGTTCGACTCAGCCAGATGTATTTTGGTTGGCTCGTTACTTGTTACAGGAATTTGGAAAACCTCTATGAGGAATCCTTGTAACCACGCCAATAAAAAGATGAACTTAAATCTTTTTAACCTAAGGTGATTTTTCTTACTGGGGTGGTGTGGGGGTGGTCCCCGGCGGAGCGGGTCTCAATGGTAGATGTCTACCATCAAAATAACCGTTCAGCCGGGTTGAGAACAAGGAGACCCGATGGGGTCTTCTCTTCCTGGGATGGTGGGTCGGGGTTCGAAAATTTTCTATGAGTCTTGAGAATGAGAAAATGACTAGCAAGAGGCAAGAAGAGCAGGTGAAGACAGGAGAGGGAGAAGAAACTGGATTGGAAGAAGGAATGAAAATTTTTCCTTCTACCGTTTCAGAGTAATTCCTCTCCCATCTCGGCCCCGGCCCCGGGACCATCAGCTGTCCCGCTCATTTGCCCGTCCCCTTACGTTATGTAATGGACTCTACCATACCGTCGCAGGCTTTGGGTTAGTCAGCAATCCACCACTATATCCGTAGGGTTCTAGTAGGAGGGGGTGCATCGGTTGAGTCTCTGTTTTTCGACAGTTCGACTCAGCCAGATGTATTTTGGTTGGCTCGTTACTTGTTACAGGAATTTGGAAAACCTCTATGAGGAATCCTTGTAACCACGCCAATAAAAAGATCAACTTAAATCTTTTTAACCTAAGGTGATTTTTCTTACTGGGGTGGTGTGGGGGTAGTCCCCGGCGGAGCGGGTCTCAATGGTAGACGTCTACCATCAAAATAACCGTTCAGCCGGGTTGAGAACAAGGAGACCCGATGGGGTCTTCTCTTCCCCATAACTCACGGGGGACTGAACCGTGAGCCTAGGGAAGCCCCCATATTTCGGTCTTCCGTGAGACACCCCAACACACAACGGTACCAGCCAGAAAAAGTGGGCTGTACCACAGTATCGAATTATCACAAGCAAACAAAGTTCCACCTGTATCATACATCTAGGAAAGGCTTCTGTTACAAATTATACAGGAGACTCAGAATAAGCTGGAAGAGCAATCACATCTAGCCTCCTAAATGCCGATCAACTTGGAAGGAACAGAGGTATTTCGAATTCATTAGAAAGCACTCGACGTGACAAGTTCGAAGAACAAGAACCAAGCTCACAACCTCACGCGGAAGAGTGATCCCGACAACCAATCATTTAGGTGATACCCAGTGCAGATCGACCATCAACTTCCTTGTTGCTTCCAGGTCTTTAGCAGAAAACTTTCTCAAGTAGATCATGTAAGCATCTGAGGACCAACACCCACACTTTTTCACTTCATCCTTGTCAGCTCCCAAATTCCAACGGAGCGACGCGCCACCGATTCGGAACGAGTGCCCATGAAGAAGTTGTTTCTTTTTCGATCTTCGGTCATTCCAGATTTTTCTGAATTCCCTGATAGTTTCTGCCTTCCCTAACCGACACTTCTTCCCATCTTTTGTGTAGCAAAAGATTTCGTCTCTAGGCTTCCTGACTTTGTATGTGAACCAGGACTCCAGCATAGACACCGGGTCTAGAAGAGTATCGTGCCTGTAAAGGTAAATCCACTGAGTTTCTCCCGGGCTAGCAGTCTTTGCGTTGTGGATGGCCATCTTCACGTAGGACTTGTCTTTTGCCCAAACTAGATCGTCCCACCTTGGCATCACTTTCTTGGGATCATCTGTAAGTAGTTCTCCCAATCTAGCAGTACCCCAAAACGCCACCAGAGCTGCAGTTAACATAGCCAACTGTTTCTCTCCTTGCTCAGATAGCACCTCAAGTAAGATCACCAGGTCCAATAGAAGTACCGGAGGTCTCTTCCGATCTTCCTCTTCAAACTTTGCTTCAATCATTTTCGATGCTTTCAACAACGGTTTGATGGATTGATCCACTTTGGTTGGATAGTCTACGCCGTGATAGGTATGCCACGCCTTAATACCCCCTATATAAGCTTTCAACGTCGAGGATTTTACTGATTCGTCATTTACCGCTAGCTTTTCGTCCTTAATTGACGCCCAAACCGCAAACTCTCTCATTAAAGAGAACAAGATCGGGAGTAGGTGAGCCTTGTCTATGCCCTTGACTGTCGCGAAACGGTGTAGTTTGATGATTCCGGAGTTGTAACTTTTCAGAGTTCCGTCGCTCCAGGCACCTCGCAGAAAGTGCTTCTTTACTTCATCCGATTCGGATTCGTCCACTCCGAGTGCGTCCTTCCTGAATGCTCCAAAGGGCTTTAGGACTCTGCGTAAGTTTGGGAGTTCTTTGGTCTGGTTGGACTTCCGCTTCCCCATCGTAAAGGGAAAATGATGAACCGAGATGAGGTAAGGAGCTGAAGAGATTTCTAGGGTACAACCGTTCACAAGGATTTTGGAGGAGTTCGCTCTAACGTGACTTGGAACATCAAGGGGGACAGGTCTTTCGGGATCTCCACTCGGACTTTGTGGCTCCACGCGAGTGAGCCCAGAATTCCCCTGGATAAAGCATCTGCCGGATTGGCCTTAGATGCGACCCGTTTCGCCTTTATGTTACATCCTAGAACCGTGAGTAACCTTTGTATCTCTTTCCATTCTTCGTTGACGCAAACGTCTTTGGATTTCCTCTTATTAACGGTTGACTGTGATGTTGTGTTATCAGTCCAGACAACGAACCTTTTGCCTTCAACCTTGCGTAGATTGCGTACTACTAGCATGCCTAGCCTGATTGCAGCGGTTTCCGCCCAGGCAATGGAGCGCTTACCTTCCAGCAGGCCTTTGGTCTGCCAACCGTCTACAAATCGAAAGGACGCCCAGTGTTCACCCACCAGTACTCCTATTCCAAAGGACGAAGAAGCATCCCCAGCCCAGTTTATTTCCAGAGCTTTCGATTCCGGTATCAGCGGGCGAGAATTAAAGGTACCAAGGCAGAGATCCCACTCTTGAAGATCCTTCCTAGCGCTCTCCGATAGCTGGCGAAGAGCTGCCGTGTTCTTCCAGGCCTTCATCATCCGATAGAGAGAACTGACATATGGTTTCATATGCAGGACGATGTTCGTGGTGTGGATAAGACGACCCGTAACTTGTTCGATGGTTTTAAAGGAGCAAGGGCCTGGGCTGAGTAAGTCTTTAATTTGCTGTCTTCTTTCCTGGAGTTTCTCATCCGGTAATCTAACCGTGTGGTCTCTTCCATTCCATATAAAACCTAAGAACCGTTGCTCGTCAGCAAATTCATGATTCTTTATTGGGTTATACTGAACCCCCATGCTGTTACTCAGAGTCTCGACCGTCTCTAGCGAGACTGGGTTTTCTGGACGCTTGAAGAGTAGGTTGTCGTCAACCCAGCAAAAGATCTTAGTCACACCGCTAATCTTCTCCATTATGATCTTCCAGACGTGCACCGACGCCCCAAAAACTCCGCAACTCGCGACTCCACCAAACCCTACTGCAAGGTCGACCCATAGTCTTCCTTGGAAATCCATGATGATCAGGAAGCGGCGTTGGCAGGGATGAACAGAAAGCTGTCTATAAGCTTTTTGCCAGTCAAAGATGGCGACCAACCATATCCCCGGATGACGTCTGAAAAATCTTGCAACACGGTTGAAGTCGTCCCACTGTGTGCCATAGTTGTGCTTATTAACAAAGGAATTAACTGACGGAACGTTTGGATCTCTTTTAGGGAAGGACAGGTCATTAATCAACCGCACAGAGCCATCCCCGTTAACCGCGCTCCCCATGGGGTTTGAGCGAAAGAATCCGAATTTTTCCCGCAACTCTTCATGAGTGAATGGACCCACTATCCAACCAGCTTGCAGTTCCTTAGCTAGAGTCCGCTCGATCTGGGATTTGGCTGCAAGAGCCGACTTGTGATTTTCAGGAGTGTACCACGGTAAGTCCTGGATAGCATGTTGTGGAATGCCCAAGCAGAATCCGTTCCTGAAACCGTTACTGATATAGGGAATGCATTTGTCCAGGCCCGCCTCCCGCATCAGCTCTTCCCACTCCTCAATTTTCATTCTACTAGGAACCGGAGCAGGCCAAGGAGGGTTTTCCACCGGGATCGTGAAGATTTCTCTCTCCCATAAAGGTAGAGGTTCATCTGTGACACTTTCTTCACTCGAGACTTCATCATTGGATTCACTCTCTGAGGACAAGGAGGGCGACTGTTCCATCTCGGAATCACCCGACTTGATTATCACATCATCAGGTAGTTTTAAAGAGGCTCCATTCTCACGTGACGCTAACGGCAGGCTCGGGACAGGAACTCTGATACTGTCTAGCAAGAGTAGGGATGTTCATATTTCAAAGAGAATATATGTTTTAGGTTTGTTTTCTAAACAAAACAGGGACAATCATGCTCTAATGCGTACCACAAGTTAAAATTCGCACACAACCAGATGGAAGAAGATGGCAGTCACGATCAAGAATTAGCGCGAACAGCACCAATCAAGGAATCAGACACAAAGGAGTTTCCGATGGTCAGTAAATGAGGGTCATTTCTGGACTTCAAGCAGAGGGTACTCACTTGTCTGCGGTGTCTGCACCTTGCGACTTCTGCGCACCAGTACCACCGTTTTTCTTGTAGTAACTGTTCCTCTTCACAAAGCCACCATTGGTTCCGGAGCCTTCAGCACCTTGAGTTTCTAAAAACGTGCATGAATAGGAAATAAAACACCAGTAAGTGAAGACTGCTCTCGCATTTATCATGAGATAAGCTAGCAAATGCGAACCATCGCCCTGATTGCCCTGAATCTTGGCACCTTTGTTCTGGGAGAAGTTTCCCCTTTTCACGAACGGTTTCTTTCCGTTACCTCCCCTTTTTCCCCTCTGGGTCGAGGATCCAGTAACAATCGAAGAAGTTTCTTCTGACTTGCCGCTAACCAAGTCTTCAACCTGCTCCCTACCCGTCGTGAAGTTGAAGCCAAATTTAGGCTTCCCTGGCGCATAGGGGTTGTCAATGAAGCCGAGGTCATTCGCTCGTTCTGCGTCACGTCTAGCCGACTCCTCTACCGAGGCCTGAAGACCGTTGGGAACACACATCTTATCTGTCATCACCGTCTTGCCGTCGACCTTGGTTTTGATCAACTTGCGGCGTCGAAAAATGACAGTGCGAATTGCCAAGTGGTATCGGAGAGCAACCATCCAGCAGTTGTGCTTCTTCTTCAAGTTGGAAACAATTAACTTATGAGACTCGACATAGTTGGCGTAATCTTTAAGACCATAGATTTCTCGCGCATAGCGTTCTTCGAGATCACACATTTTGATGAATTCACCGTAAGTGATTTGTTTCTCTCTGGCCTTCTTGGTAGATTTGGCTGCCGAAGACTTAGCCTTCTTTTTCTCATCTTCATCTAGGTCGTGCCAGTCCTTGATGGACGATTTCACGAAGACCGTCAAAGGAACGTAAGCACAGAGCTTCCTAAAGCCCTTGTCCCACCTGGTGGGCAAGTCAGGAAGATCTGCCGAAGTGAAATCTCCAGCTTCGCATACGAGTTCTGCCGCACTGATCGCCGAGGAGTCGTCAGAGGAAGAAGATTCAGACGGTGTAGAGTCACCGTCATCTGGATCCGAAGGTTTCTTCGACATCTTCTTCTTCTTAGATTTAGACTTCTTCTTCGGCTTTTTCTCAGGCTTCTCATCGCCGGAAGAACCCGACGACGAGGAGGGGTCCTCGCTGTTCTTCGAGGACTTCCGCTTCGAACCAGATACCGAGGATTCACCCGCCGGTGCTTGAGCAGGTGCTCGCGCCACTATGGCCGAAGGTCTAGTCGTAACAGGACTAGCCGTAATAGGTGGAGGCATGGCTTGGGCTCCCACGGCGATTGCGGTATGTGCTCTCGGGGGATCCCAGTGAGTCGCACGTTGCACGCACGCATTGACCTTCTCTAGAGCGGCCTTAGCTTCCTCTAGTGTCCCGAATTCGACCGCATGGTTGAGTTCGTCCATGATTGAAACACCCTGTTGGGGTTCTTTGTCTCTCGATGAAGGAACTGAATCAATCAACCAGGAAACACATTTAGTAAGTAACTGATAATTCTATAGGATCGTGGCCTATTCTCGGCGCTGATAGCAGCCTCCCTTTTGCTTATTCTGCTCAGAGATTACGCATCAGAGGATCGCGCATTGATTGCGGAACTTATTGGGCCAGTCTTGAAGTTAACATAGATCACAGCAAGTCGAAGAGCGCCAATGGCAGCGTCTCCCTGGTACCTCAATGAGAGCGCTCAAGGCAGCATCTCTTCTGGATCACGCATGACTCCAGCACCGGCGCCATCGGCAGCCAGAGGCCTCTCCAGACCGAAGTCGTGGATTAGACATGAAGTCTAAAGGCCGACAAAAAGGGGGAAGGAATAACTTACCCTTAATCCGTATGTTCTTTCCAAGAGAGGGGACAAGGGAATTGTCTTGTCTCAATTGAATCTTCTTCTTCAGAGCTAACTTGAAATTTCCATTTTCTTCCCCTTCAGATGACTCATCATCACCTTCTTCACCATTGGCGATTCCAGAACCTCCCGTCGTGCCAGTTGGGTCGATTGGATCGCCGTCATTGTCAGCGTTGTTAACCTCGTCCACCAACGTGCCACCCGGAAGTAGTTGAGAGAGAGGAGGAGCCCTGGACTCAGCACGTCTGGCCCTGTCCTCAGCTTGAATATGTTCCTTCTCTGCTTGCATCTTCTTCTTTTCTTCAGCTTCTAAATGCATCTGGTGCAATTTATTCTTGAACGAGATAAGTTTATCCTTTTGAGACGGATCCATTTAATAAAAGAGAAAACTGCGAGATGATATAACCAGGATATTGGATTGAGTTATATATAAGATATAGAAATTCAAAAATTTTCTATGAGTCTTGAGAATGAGAAAATGACTAGCAAGAGGCAAGAAGAGCAGGTGAAGACAGGAGAGGGAGAAGAAACTGGATTGGAAGAAGGAATGAAAATTTTTCCTTCTACCGTTTCAGAGTAATTCCTCTCCCATCTCGGCCCCGGCCCCGGGACCATCAGCTGTCCCGCTCATTTGCCCGTCCCCTTACGTTATGTAATGGACTCTACCATACCGTCGCAGGCTTTGGGTTAGTCAGCAATTCAAATGGAGACATAGAAACAATTCTTAGAGAAAAAGAGTGGAATTTCAGTGGTACTTTATTGTTGAACTAGAATAAGATCTACCTGCCTTGGTTGGCTCAGATCTTTTGGGCCATTCTGTTCTGTTTAACTGGGCAGGATGTTGTTTTGGCATGGTTTTGGGGGAATGGTGGCTTGAATACAAGATGTTGATGCCATTGATTTTCTCTGAGGATTTGAAGACTGGGGAGGTGGCTTCTTGTTGGGAGGATGGCTGGAGCTTTCAGGCTTGGAAGATATAGGGGCCTTGTTTGGGACCAAGCCTGTTGAAGCTCTTGGTGTCTTTTTCTCCTTGGTTGATTCAGGGCTTGATGAGACTGTGTTCTTGATCTTCCCACTTATATCTTGAAATTTGTTGAGAAGGTCTTTGTAAGCTTTCTCTCAAGCAGTAGCTTCATTTTGCATCTGTTCAAGCATCTTGTTTTGGGTGGCAATCTGTGATGGCTGAGTCTCAAAGCTCTTGGTTGAATGCTGGTTGGTTTTGGGATTTTGCTTGGTTTTTGCGGATTTCTTGGTGTCTGGAGGTCATTTGGAGGATTTGTTTTGAAAGAAGATCATGTGGTGAATCCACTACTTGACTGGTATGGGTATTATGCTGGATATATAAACTCAGCTATTGTAGCTTGTACAAGAGGTATGTGTTTGGACTATTCGTGTGGGCACAAGGGGCACTTTTGTCCTCTATCAATTACTTCTATTCATTGATTTTGTATGAGATCCCAAAGAATTGTTACCTTTACCGGTTATTCTTTGCGACCACTTCTAGTAAAGTATTATCTACTGTGGGTGGTTTGGGGGTATGCCCCGGCTAAAATGGGAGGGGTCTACCCCGGTAATAGACGTCTATCACCGAGGTAGATCCACTTCGCCGGGGTGAGAGCAAAGAAGCCGATGTGGGCTTCTCTTCCCCCAAACTCGCGGTGATTTGAGCCAAGAGCCTGAGAAGCCCCATCTCTCAAACCACCGTAGAGTTTGAATCTACTCAAACATCTACTCAAACTTTATAGTTCAAAATTGGGAGATCTTTTCAACTACTGCTCTTCAACGAGCACGCGGGAGAAACTTTGATTTTTCATCAGATGTATTGAGGCTTGCATCAAATCAGATCTCTGTATTTTCCTCATACCCGCACAACTCTATAACCACATCAGTTCCTTCATCAAACTTTTTGTTTTCTTCAAATCTTTCTCAGAATATTTCCTCAAATAAACTTTGTAAGCATCAGAAGCCCATCGACCGCAGCGTTTCAAGTCATTTTTATCTGCCCCTAGATTCCAACGAAGAGACGCTCCTCCAATGCAAAAAGAATGGCCATGTAGCATTTGTTTCTTCTTCGACCGTCTGGCATTCCATATACTTCTGAGGTGAGTGATCGTCTCTAATTTCCCTAGACGTTTCTTTCTCCCATCCACTGAAATGGAAAATATCTCGTCTCCCAGTTTCCGATCCTTGAAATGGAACCATTCTTCAAGGGTTGACACCGGGTCCAGAAGCGAATTCTGTCTATGAAGCTTGATATACTGGATCTCCCCTGGACTCGCCGTTTTGGCCTTCCGAATCGCAATCGTTACATATGAGTGATCTTCAGCCCAGCATAGATCGCTCCACTTGGGTAAGTTCTTCTTGGGATCATCAGATATCAATTCCCCTAAGCGAGCTGTACCCCAAAAAGCTATTAAGGCTACTGCTAACATCGCCAGACCTCTCTCTCCTTCTTCTGGCAGTACCTCCAATAAGACCACCAGATCCGATAACATAACAGGAGGACGTTTCTTATCCGCTTCCGCCAGTTCCGCTTCTATCATCTGTGATGCCTTCAACAGGGCTTTGACCGCACCATCGACCGCGACCGGATATTCCTCGTCGTGAAAAAGGTGCCATGCCTTTATTCCAGCAATGTAAGCTTTCAACGTTGTATATTTCACCGACTCATCATCTTCCGCTCGGTCAACGCTCCTTCTTGACGCCCACACCACGAACAACTTCATGACTTTTGGTGAGATCGGTAACAGTTCTGACTTGTTTAGTTTCTTCACCACCGCAAACCGGTGAAATTTCACCACTCCCGAGTTATAACTTTTCAATGTCCCATCACCCCATGAACCTCGTAAGTAGTGCTGTTTTACCTCATCAACGTCTGAATCATCCAATCCTAACGTGTTTTCCTTAAATGCCCCAAAAGGTTTTGTCACTTTCTTCAAATCCACGTTCTTGGTCACCGAAGTTCCTCTGGTTACCATTGTGGCCTGACAGGTCGATTAAGGCGTTGGACGAGTGGAGGGTTGAATTGTCCTGACGTTATTGAGACTTAGGTGGATGAAGCTTCGGAGGAAAGACCTGTCTCAACAGCGTATCTAAATCCAGGGGAACCTCTATCTTCACTTCATTAAACCATAAGAGATCTCCGAGATAACCTCTCGAAAGGGCATCCGCGACGTTCCCTTTAGATGTTACGCGTTTTGCCTCTATATCACATGACAAGACGGTAAGTAGCCTCTGAATGGCTTTCCACTCTTCATTAACCAGATTGTCTCTCGATCGTCTCTTTCTGACTGTAGCTTGCGATGTTGTATTATCAGTCCAGACCGCAAATTTCATTCCTATAGGAGGTCCTAGTCAGATCTGCTTGCCTGACGATTCTTACGGAACCCGACTCACCTGCAACCTGCCGTACTTTCTGTAGTATTAACAGGCCTAACCTCATGGTAACTGTCTCTGCCCACGCTATGGTGCGTTTGTCGTCGACTAGGCCCAAAGTTTGCCAACCCTTGGTGAACTCGAAACACGCCCAATGGTCACCTATCAAGACCCCGATCCCAAAGGACAAAGACGCATCTCCTACCCAGGAGACCTCAGTTGCCTTAGGTGACGGTATAATCCTTCGTGAGTTAAAGTTTTTTAAGACCCAGTACCACTCATTTACATCTGCCTTAACACTATCTGACGTATATCGCAAAGCAGCCTTATTCCTCCAACTTTTCATCCATCTATAGAACGAATTCAGATATGCCTTCATATGTGGGATGATGTGGACCGTATGAACTAATTTCCCGACTATGCTTTTGACTTTGTTAAAGGCCCATTGGGTCTCTGGATTCATTAGGTCCACTATGATCTGGAGTCTTTCTTTTAATTTCTCTTCAGGAAGCCGAACCGTATGATCAAGACCATTCCATATGAAGCCTACGAACCGCTGTTCCTCGGCGAAATCATGGTTCTTTACTGGATTAGTCATAACCCCTAAACTTTCACTCAGAACTGTCACGTCTGCTAAAGTAATTTTGTCACCTGGTCGTCTGAACATTAGATTGTCATCAACCCATCTGAAGATGATGATTTTTAGCAACCTTTCAATTACCAGTTTCCATACATGGGCTGGTGCACCAAACACGCCACAACTCGCAACTCCTCCAAAGCCGACTGCTAGGTCTATCCACACTCTATTGTAGAAATCCACGATACAAAGATATCAACGCTGGCACGGATGTATCGGAAGTTGTCAATACGCCTTCTGCCAATCAAAAATGGCGACCTCCCATTCCCCTGGATTCTCTTGGAAGAACTTTGCTACTCTGTTGAAGTCGTCCCAGTAGGTCCCGTAATTTGACTTGTTCAAGAAAGAATTAACTGACGGTATCTTATTATCATACTTTGGGAAGGACAGATCGTTAACCATTCTCACCGACCCGTCGCTGTTCACCGCACTCCCCATAGGGTTCGACCGAAAGAAACCGTACTTTGCGTACACTTGTTCGTGGGTAAACGGACCTGCAATCCTTCCAGCCACGAGCTCTTTCTTTAACGTTGCTTCGATCTGGGATCTCGCCTCGAAGGCCGATTTGTGATTTTCTGGTGTATACCACCGCATTCCTTCAATTTCATGTTGGGGAATGCCTAAACAAAAACCCTCGTTGAACCCATTGACTATGTAAGGTATGTCCTCTTCTAAGCCTACCTCCTTCATCAAGTAAAGCCACTCATGGACTTTCATCCTACACAAAACTGGCATAGGCCACGGGACCGTTACTGGCACTATGAACAGTTTCCTCTGACCAAGAGGTCTAGGAATCCTCTCCAGTTCTCATCTTCTTCCTCTAC